GGGTCACTCTGATGCCCACCAGACACCTCTTGCACAGCAGGATGGAGCCCCTGCATAGAGGACTAACACCCTCTGCCCCATCTTGCAGAGCAGCATGGCCATGATGTGCTGCCAACAGTTGTATGGACACACTCACAAACTCACCCAGCCATGGGGAACTCACCCAAATTAGAAGCTTGGAGAAGCTCTGCTAAGACACCAAGTATCACAGCATTGACCTTCAGCAAGCCCCTCAGGTGCTGAAACCGATCCTCCAGCTGCTGGATTTGATATGCTGCTTTTCTGCAAAGCCCTGATCACATAACACATAAGTTACAGCCAGAATGCACCCCCTCCTTTGCCTTTTAGCATGTGCAGCAAAAAAAAGCCAACATAACTTGGGTCAAGAAGGAGATAATTTAATTGCAAACTCTTTGCAGCTCTTGCCAAGTCCTTGCCCTTTTGTTCACCTTCAGAGGTCCCACCTGGGGCAGAGGGATGCTGATGGTCTGATTTATTGCAGCAGCATCTGCCCTGGAGAGGAGGAGATGCTGCAAACACCCCCTCTTCTGCTCCAAGAACAGGCTTCAAGTTCTCAAAGAAGTAACTCTGCACAGCAGAGATACAGATGGGGAACAGAAGGCAACATGTCCCACAAGACATTCTTAATATTTAATGCAGCATCAGAGCTGTGCCAAGTGATCCAAGCTCATGTAGAGTTTTCTACAAGGGAAAGGGACACAGCCACAGCTTGTCTTAGTTGGAAAGGAAAACACACTAGGGCTGAAGAGAAAAGTGCTAATTTGTATTTCTAAAGCCTGTACTCTGGCAACTCCCTCATCTGTCTGCTCTTTACACAATATTGATGGCTCATTCTTTGCAAGCAGAGCTGCAGCCAATAGTGTAATGGACAGGGCTTGGTACTTAAATGCCTTAATTAGATATGAAAACAATTAGAGAGGACTGCTCTCTTCTAGCATCCACAGGACTCAGCTCAGATATAATGGGATGGGTTTGCCCCATTTTCTGTATTTAAGTTGTTCTGAAAGCTTGACAGTTTAAAGAAAAGGACAGCCCAAGTGCACTGCTGCGCCATAAAGTAATCACCCAAAGAGACTCAAGACAGCATAACTGTATTGCAATTACAAATCCTTCATAATTACCTATTATGGCAAAGTGAGCCTCAGGGGAGCAACTGCTGCCATGCCCCTGCTCAGATACAAGCTCAAGTTCTCCAGAAGGGAATAAAATAATAAATAAATAATGCTAGGCCTGGTGGCAGCATGACAGAGCACAGTCAGCACCCAGAGCAGAGCATGCTGCAGTCACCCCATGGCCTGGGCAAGACACAAGCTGAGCCAGGCCATGACACAGCAAAGAGCTTGTCCTGAAGGCTGGGGAGTGGAGGCAGGGGCTGGCTTTGAGCCAGCCTTGACCTTGTGCCAATTACCCACAAGAGGGAAGAGAAAAAAAAAAAAAGAAACACACACCCCCCACACACAGCATGAAGAGCAGATATAGGATACTGAACAAGAGCTTGATCAAGGAATCACACGAGTGTCAGATACAGTAGATACATGCCCAGCTGAACACAGGGTGGAGAAAGAGATGCTTTTGGTGATACCACATCTCTAATCCACTTTGTTGAGAACTCAAACTCCCCCTTGTTGCCAGCAGCCCTTCCCACAAGAAGGTATCTCCAACTTTGACCATCATCATGTTTCTTCAAGGAGCATCCAGAGAGCACAGTTCAGCCGCGGCTTCTAAAGCAGCCAAACGTGGTATGAAGACATCTATGAAGCAGTTCATCTGTTGCTAGAGCTGAAGACATGGGTACTTGGGAGCAACAGTTTGTCCTATGGTATACAGAAACATGACCAGATACCAGATTTGTTTCCAGAGCATCCCAACTGACAAAGTTCAAAAATTGCACATCTTGTCCCACCCCTACTGGATTCATCTTGAAGCTTTTCACCAGATGGCATCTCTGAAGCAAGCCAGTTGATTTCATTTATTCTATCCCCATCCCTCTGCAGTGGTGCACTGATGCACATCAACTCATCTGACATTTATTAAGAGCTTCAAAGTTGACACCAGAGAATTTGGGGGGTGGTTGTTACTCAAGTTGTCAGATTTGCTTTCTAAGCAATCCAGAAAGTGCTGTGTTGCCTGTTCAGCAGTCCATATTTCACCAAGTTTCCTTAATTTACATGGAGAAACATTTCCATACATACTGTATCAACAGAATTGTTGAAGGCAATGAAGTAATAAGCATCAGACCAACAGAACTACTTGGGTATAAATCCCATTTTAATTGTCAAGCCATCTTCTAGCTCCTACATTCAGTGCAAGGTCAGAAACTTGATTTGAGCACAGAAATTCACCATGTCCCCAGTTTCTGATAGTTTTGGCAACTCAAAAGCAGCTTCCAAAATTCACTCATTTCAGAAGTATTTTACTACCTTGTGATTCCAAATGGGCTTGCTTGATAGCAATTAACATCTTCCAAATCCAATTCTTTGGCAATATTTATACATAACATTGTGCGTATATAAAGAGCTTATAACAAAACTTTTTACATTCCAGCCGTCTCAACCTTCACAGAAGTATTAAAGTGCTGAATTAACTCTGTGAACAAACTCCTTCCCTAGGTAGCCTACTGCCTGGAAAAGCTACACTTAAGTCAGCAAAACCAGAAGCAAACAAAGATGGAAGAGAGATTTCTATGAAAAATACTGTGAAATCATTGCACTCCCTTGAGGGGATCTAAGAGTCCCCTCTTACTACCCCTGTAGGGACACATGGGTCAAAAGTGTTCAGTCTAGGCCAGCACAGCCTCTTTTTTCAAGTTGTGCCAATTTTCCAATCAGTTGATTCTTTGGCCTATGATTTTTGCAGAAAGAAAACCCTTGCAGAACAATCTTATGGATACTACAAAGAAAAGACTAAAGACTATCAGTGTGACTATTAGTCCATCTCAAAGCTATCCTGGGGGAAGACCTGCACATCATTACTTCCCCTCCTTGCTTTCCTGCTGGCACATCCTCTCCTCCCTGCAGCCAGGGGAACCACAGTATGATTTGAACAGGTCCACAGGGTGACTGTTTCTGCTTGCCAAAAGCACTAAGCACAAACCTCCAGGGCACCTGCATTCAATAGCTCACTCAACCTGAAGACACCCCCTTCCCTTCAGGGGCTTTCAGTTAATCTTGTGGCATCCAGATAAAGGTCAAGCAGCACCAAAGCCTTTGTATTACCTGCCTTGCGATGAGGCACTTGGCCATTTGCTGTCACTTATTCTCTTTCTGCTGATTGATCAGAGACACTCACCATCTCCTACCCACAAACTCTGTCTCCTGACTGCTCACTTTTCACTCCTACATGCAGACCCTGGCAACAGATATTAATGATCTCATCATGGGTCTGACTCAAAATCTGGAAAATACTGACCAAGGTGCTTAGAAATCACATACTGATTTACACTGCCAGGCAAAATACTGGACACAGCAGGAGATACAACCTGCAACCTTCAGGTCTTTGCCCGAAACCCCACGTGCTTGGTGGCACCTGCACTGGCAAGCTTTGGTGGCCACCCTGATCCAGGGCCTTCTCCACAGTCCCCAGGGTTTGCTGGTGTGGTACAAGGGTCCTCACTGAGGTCACACGCTGCCATTTTGTTCACTAACACAGGTGAGAGTTTTCTCCTGAAACCGAGGAAAATTCTCCTGCTCTGTGACAAGAACCATAGCCAGAAGGGCACGTTGAACAAAACACTAACTGCTCTCCTTCATTAAATGCCAATATAAAGATTAACAGTTTTAATCAAAAACTGAAAATTCCATTCTTGATACATGCATTAAAACCATAGGGACTACACTAGGATGAAACCCCACCTGACATTCAGTGTAAATACAGTGCCTTGAATCTGGTTTGGTTTCAGCATATGATCATTTTGTCTAAATTCTTCCTCTCTCATCACCAAATTTGTCCTCTCCACCATGTAGAAAAATACCTAATCACTAGTGCACATGCTGATAAGACACTGTGCTATTTTCTGGGCAAGCAACTTGCAAGAAAAGTCTTCCCTCTGCTCATCTGATGTATTTGCATTTCACTTGATATTCCCCTTGCCTCATTTCTACTAAGACAAAATGAGTTTTGCAAGCTCATCATCTTGAGAACTCCATCTATTACTTAATGCTTTACCTGTGACCTGTATGTGCAGCAAAGGGAAAGGACCCAACTAAAAGACAGCGTGTTTCACAGTACTTCAGATAAGAAAACTGACCATTGTACAGGCAAAGTTAAACAAACTGAAATATAAAAGACAGCAGAAGTTAGATTCATCCAGAAATATAATATAATGTCTGGGAGCATGGAAAAAAACATGAGATTAGCTACAAAAACAATGAAGTGACCAACAATTATTCATTAGGCAAGAAGAAACTTTCATTACATGCTATACATAAAAATTAAATGCAAAATTCACATGTTGGAGCATCAAGACAGAATGATAACCTTAGAAGTCATGGGAAGGAAAAAAATTGAATAAAGCAACATATGGACAAAAACAGTAAATGAGCAGCTTCAAAATAACAAAAAAGTGACCATATCTCAAATGAGAAAAAGCAGCACTGAAGCAAAGAACAAATAAATGCTCAAGACATCACAGGTAACACTGATTGCACAAAACACTTCTGATATTTCAAAAGAATCAGGCCTATTTGTATATCTATGCAAAATATATACACAAATCCATATGTATATATGTACACATAGGCACTACTGTACATATGTATATGCAATCAACTGCACTTTGACAAATCTGAATCTGTGTGCAAGCAAGAACATGGCAGTTGTGCAAAACCACACTTCCATATTTGATTATTGAGCAGTAATGGTAGAAAGATTCAAAATAATTCCCAAATAACGTAGACCCAGATACAATTTCAGCAGCATCACCAGGTGAGCCCAACCCCTGAATACCTCCAGCTCCTCCGTAGGAATTAAACACTCAAAGCTGTGGATTTTATCTGTCCAATTTAAAACTGTTTCAAACCCTTCCACTACTCGGTCAGAAGAGATGGCCACACCTCTCCTGACAGCAGTGGCTTACCATGAGGCCATCCCCCCTGGAATACCATTTTGGGAATACTGGACACATGGGAAACAATTGAGAATTCCAGAACAGTATTGTCATTCCATTAAAGAAGGGTCAAGCTGCTGTCCTTATACATCAATAGTGTTTTTGAAAAAAAAGGGATGTGGTGCATAGAAAAGGGGTCCCCACCCACCCCAAACAAGGGAACATGTGACAACGCTAGGAATGCATGCTCCAACCATAGAACGTGCTGATCTTTGGGGTTTCCAGTTTTGGGATGTAGAAAGTAATGTTTCTGTAAAGCTCGCTTGCCTCAAGGCTCTGAAGAGCATCGGCCTCCAAGTCCAAGACTGTTTTGGTCTGACACTTCAACGCTCAGTTGGTCTTTAATATTTGTGCATTGCCAACGCCATATTAGAGCAGAAAGTGGTGAAAGAAAGAACTGCAGATCAATTGTTCTGTGCCTCAAAGCCACCCTGTCCTTTCAACTCCAAAAGGAGCCATCTTCATGCTTCTGTGTGCATCAAATCCTATTTAGTGCTCTGCATCCATAGCATCTAAGTACTTGGCTTCAATGATCCTTGGGAGCAGGTTATACCTAAGATTGAACCAAAGAGAATCAATGCCTGGTTATTACCATTTCATTACTGTAACACTGTTCGTTCTCCGACAAGTTTGTTCAAGATCATACAGACTCACACAACTGCAGCACAGGTGAGGAGGAAAGAAAAAACAATTCTGCAAGCAAATTCAGCAATTATGGAAACAGCAGTGCAGATGTCTTGGAAAAAGTCTCCCCATGTCTATTTAGGAGGGAGGAGATTGTCTTCCTCACACAGCAGAGAACTGCTGCCCAAAGGCACTCTGTTGCAAAGGGGTTTTGAAGGAAGTACCAAAAATGTACAGTCTCACTTGAGCCACAGCTATGCTCCTGCTTTGTACAGGGCACTTGGTTACCCTAGCTTGCATACAGACAGGTTTATGGTCAAAAACAATAATTTATAATAAGCAATTACCCATTTCAGTGGTCTCCCTGTAGTCTTCCCACACAAACCTTACACCCTACAGCCCTGAACCCTCCCAGTGACCCTGCCAATACGAGGCATGCAGAACACATAGCAGAAATCCTCCCCTAAGGTCACAAGGCTGTCTGAGACCATGATATGAAAGTTATGTGCATTACAGGATCTCAGTCCTTCAGCATCCCAGAGCCACCTCTTCCACTTTTCCCAACTGGAGGTTTTAATAAGCACCCAGGAACTCTGCAGTCTTTTGAACCGTAGTAGTTTTGTCTGCAGGACTTGATCCTGCAAAAGGCTAAGCAGGGCTGTGATGTTCAGTCCTCCAGCTGCTGGCAGAGCTCCGTGCCTACCTCGTGTGCCTGACTTTCACTGGAGTATGAGGACAGCATTTATGTTACCGTTTTTCTCCCTCCCCCTTCAAAAAACACCCTTGTGACAAGGTATTTGGGTGAAAAAGGCAAAGCATTATAACAGTATGCTGTAAAATTGCTCTCTTCATTAAATCCTACTGCATATTTATAGTTTGACACTTTGTTGCATAACAAGAAAGTTTTTTAGCTGCTGAAACAAGACTGAGACACCAGTAGACTTGGAAGAGCCTTTTCAATACTGGAAAGAGATCTCAAACAGCACTTAGTACTGAGAAATGCCATAATCTCCTCAAATTGATCTGTCATGAAGCAAAATGATTAGAATGTCATTGGAAGAAATTGAAAAGGCAGCATTTTATCCACTTCTCTGAACATTAAAAATACTCCTTGGAGCAGGGATTAAAACATAACCAAAAACTAATAACCCTAAGGCTCCAAATCCAAGACAGGAATTTGGGATACCTATAGGGATCACATTTCCTCCTGACATGCTGTAATACCACAGTAATGAGAAGCCCTTGAGATAAAACATCCTTCATGCTGACACACCACCCATGAGGAAAATGTTCCCTCATTTCTTCTCTTCCACTCTGCTTCATATAAACTACCAAATCTTTGTGGAAATGCCTTTTTTTTTCCTCTAAAACTAAAGTGTCCTGCACAGTGGTGCTACCTTCCAAAGGGAAGATAAAGGGTCGTTTTTTTTTTTGTGTGTGTTTTGTTTGTTGGTTTTTTTTTTTTTTTTGGATTTATTGTGCCAGGTAGTACACATCAGTTTTCCCCTGGGCTGATTATCCAGACAGTAGAAAAGCTTGCTCAGGAAAGGACAGCAAGTTAGCAAAGAGCTGAGAGCATCTTATTTATTCAAATATATATATATATATATCACCATGGAATAACCTAGTTGTCACAGAATCAGGTTGACACAGCACCCTCCATCAACTTAGCCTGTTATATTACTTCTAATACTTGAGTATTTGGAAAAAGCAGCTTTGCTTTATTGGGCTGTCTTGTTTGGAGATGTGCAATTCCCACAGGAGCCAGTCACCCACCACTGCACACAAACCAAGTGTTTACCAGCTGTTTAACCACTCACCCAAAGCAATACCTATGTGAAGGGTTGGGAATGACTCCTACCATAGGAATAAGCTGTTTGGTGTTTCAAACTTTTGTTTATGGCTTGAAAAGCACCTTGGGATGATTTTAAGACACTTCTATAGTCCTCTGCCCTTGGATTAAAAAAAAAAAATACGAAAACAAAACCCCACCACCCATACCCTCAAAATAAATACCCAGCTGAATCCTGTTACTTGGAATGCTAACTCCATAACTCCTACATGGAAACTCACCCTTCAGATAGCTCTGCACAAAAGGCAGTCACCCAGACCATGAGCTCCCCTCATTCTGAACAGCTCTTGCAACAGCAGAGCCATTCTCTTCCGGCTCCCCCAGAAATCCTCATGCTTGCTGCTACTACCTCAACTCAGTTTTGCTGCAAGCTTTATCTGAGCAAGCAATTTCTTGCAGAAATTGCAGAAAAACAAAAAAGGAGTGGCAAGAACGGTATAGATATGTGGGACCAAATTTTATTGCTAATGGATGTTTAGATGATTAAGTCAGCATTTTTTTTTTCCTTCAGATATTCATCTGAAAACCCCAGCCTAATTAACCTAAGCCAGTTGGAAGCCATGGTAGTTATGACATGTGCTTTTGTTTTGGAAAGAGCTGGATGCGTCGTTACCATCCAAGAAAACATCACAATAGCTGCCTTTGTGATAATCTGCAACAATCCTGAACTTTCAGATCAGATGGAAAGTCTGAGATTGCGAGTTCAAAGACAACCAGATATCACTGGATGCTTTCACTGGCCTAAAAATAACCGAAGGGGCTGGAGACAGATACGCTCTTTCCAAGATCTTATTATGGCTTCTCATTATGTCCAAAGGATGGAGAGCATGAATGATTTAACTGGAGAATTAAGGGCAGTCATTGTTTAATGAACATTCAAGAACAAGCTAATGTAATTTCTCAACACCGCCTCCAATGCTGCACGATATTGCAGGATCCTCCCAATTTTAGAGAATATATTTTAAGGCTAAAAGGGGCCAGTTTGACCTAACTAAGATAATTTGGTATGGTAGAGGTTACGGCAAGGTTACTTTATCCCAGTACAGCCCCACATTAGGTGTAATGACCCCTTGCTTATATTCACATTGCATCAAGTATCTAGTTCTGCTCTCTGGGTACAGATCACAGAAAGCCAGTTCGCAAACCAAGGAGGAACGTGATCAAATACCTAGAGAGGAGGCTTCCAAGGAAGAATGATATCTTGGAAGCACTGCTATAGGAGACTTAATTACCTCCCTGCTAGTGGAAAGAACAGCACCTGCCCGCTCATATCCCTTTGCAGAACCCAGCAGGGTAATGACATTTTGTCCTGTGCCAGAGGAAGAGCAGGGAAGTCCAGGGAAGGTCACCAACCACTCCCAGGACACAGTTCAAAACTACAAGAGGTCCCTCTGTGACTGCTCACACTACTTTAAGTCCAACACCGAAGTCAAAAAGCAGGGAACACTGGCAAAACACAGCCAAGCTTTGCCACAAAGAGCACCATACCTGATTGGGATCATTCCGATCATGATGAGTGGGAAGATCATCTTCATGTAGGGCAATGGTGACATGCCAAACCCACAGAGAATGAGGAGCTGCAGGACCTGCAAGCCTGTGAAATAGTGGATCTTCCTCTGGGGCACTCTGCGGATGTAATGTGTCGGAGGATAAGCAGTCTGGAAAGGGAAGAATTATGTGTTACACAGAGCAACATGGAATTGTGACTGCAGGGTAGAGCACAGACCTTTGGATATCAGGGATTTAAGAATGTCACATTCATACACACACACAGCGCATCAATATCAGTCCTTGATAGGTTCAGCCACTAGACACAGGGTTTGTAGAGTTAAATGCTTTAAAGCACACCACTGGCAACAACACTCAGAAGATAACTGAGCACTAGAAATCTGGGAGAAAAAGTCCATACCATGCAGCTAGAATTGGCTTAGGAGGATCTGGAGGGCAACAAAATACTTTGATGAGATTCCCCTGAAAAGGATTATCAGGGCTTTGCAGCAACACATGAAGGCTCTGCAGTGTGGTGGCGGTAAACAGATGTGTTGGGGGTTGCTAGATGGTTCCTCTACCCCAAACCAGAACTCCTCATTATTTCACAGCCTTCTGAGCTCTGCTTATCACACCCAACACACTCATGATCAGCTACCCTGCCTGAACCCTCACAGAGGAATTGCACAGGGTCAGATTCAGGAGATGATAGAAGAGACTGTACTCAGATTGCTTATACTCATCCAAGCCACTCATTTTTTGAGAAGGAGGGGAAAAGATGACATTAATAAGCTAAATATTCCTCGTGGTTTCTTCTGACAGTTACTTGCTCATGTCTGATGCAGGCTTTGACTCACTGTCTATACATCAGTGAAGGGAATGAGCGACTGTCTGCTGGCACAGATATAGACTCAGTGGATTTCAGATTGTGCCATGACTCATTAAAAGGTTTCCAGAAAGGGGAAAGATCCATATATGAGAATATTTTTTAATTTTCCAGACCAAAGCTTGGAAAATTCCAAGCATAATTTGTACTAAAACCAGAAGTAATATTCCATGTACACCAGTAACTATTCATTCTTCATTTGAAAATTGACATGACAAATGTAAGCTTTCTTCAGATTTCACAGTTCTAGCCACCGAGATATAATATTAGAGATCAAGAAAGATTAGCAGAGGTGCAGAGCCAAGGGCTTAAGCCCTTGACCCTTGTTATACAACATAAGGCGAGCTGGAGACTTGTTACTGCTCCCAGATACCGCCTACACTGCAAACTAATGCCTTCTCGGCACTTGTAATATCGACAGCTCAAAAGTAGATCTCCCAGATTTGTTTTCATCCCACATCAGAAGGATTTCAATAATGCAAGTCATTTTGTTTTGACTTGCAAAAAACTGTCATGTGGAATTTAACAGAAGTCAAAAAAATTAAACTGGAAGACAAAAAACAACCTGTTCTGAAACTTGGTTTGAGGGGAAAAAAGAAATCATTATTTCCTGACATTATTATTCTTAACAAGGTGTATGTGCTCTGCAGTTAACAAATCACAATGGATTTTTAGGACTTAAAACCCCTATATTCAGCAGGCAAGAATACTTTTTAAAAGTCATTGTTTGAACTTATTTTTGGCTTGTATCTAACACAGTTTTGGTGATATCTTCATGGGAGGCAGCTATTCGTGCTCACTCAGCTGTCTGCTGGCGAAAGGGGCTCTAGAGCTCTTGCAAGCAAACTGAAAAGAGAAGGATCATCTGAGGCTGCTCTGAACAGGAAAACCCCAAAGCTTTCAAGGCAGGGAAATGTGAAAGACAGTTTATGCAGAACTTCAGTAAAGAAAAAGTTTGTTTCGATGAACAGTTCTTCTGTTGCTTTTTTTAAAATCCAATAACAGTGCCATTTTGGGGTGCATAATTTCCTTACTCATTTGCCTGCTTTAATATGAGACTTTTCTTGCACACATACCAGGGCCAGCCAAGCTAAGCCAGAGACATCAAATTTCACCTCTTCTTTACACAAAGAGAGGAAAGTGATGCATGAGGTACAGGGAGCAGGTGGAAATCAGGCTCCAGGAAGTGTGGCTTCAGGGATAAGAATGCTCCTTGCACCACGAGCTCCCAGCATTAGCATCTCGTTGGCCCCAAGATTGCAGGACATGCCAACCTACGTACCTGTTCTTTCAGCAGCAGAGCCACCCTCTCAAAGAGCTGGTTCCCGTCTATGGAAGTCAGTGCGATGTATAAGAAGAGGCCATAGAGGACTGGCTTTGGGATCCACTGAAGAGGGAAAGGGAGGAGCAGGAACGAGAGGCCAACGAAGAAGTTGGCCACTAGGCTTGTCAGTCGGGTCTCCTTCACGCTCACAATCCTGGAGGCAAGAGGATCGGAATGAGGTGAGGCTAAGAATCAAATACCACACATATAACTGAGGCCATCCAGGACATGTGCCACCCATAGAGGACAGCTCATCTACACAGCACTGAGATCAGCATTTCTAGCCCTGAGCTGACACCAAGAAGACAGAGCTCTTGGACCCAGACCAGATGACACTTAATCCACAACTCAAACAGAGCAGCTGAAAAAGTGCCAAATTCCCCCTTCCCTGTTATCTCCAAAGCTGCACAGACCCAATCCTGAACTATATTACCCTCTAAACTGATTCAGTTTAGCATACTGGGAAGGAGGGAAAACAAAAACCTAAAAAACAAACACAAACATACCCCCAAAACACAAGAAACCTCTGAGCAATAAACTTCTTTGATTTACTCAATGCATATGCAATTGGCTTTTATCCAAAAGAAAGCTCACTGACTTCCACAGGAACCAGAGAACCTCTTGTTTGAAAGAAAACACACACACAAGCCCACACTCCTGATAGAGTCAGCATTTTGATGTATGTGAGGATCTCTGTTTACATGGGGGGAATGCCAAGACCACTATGGAGGGAGCTAGAAATTTCATTCTGCTGTGGATTAAAGCAGTTGTGCTGCAAATTGTCCATTACCATGCAAAACATGTAATTAATGCAAATTTGCCAGAGTTGACAGACCACAGATTGATATTTTAAAACCCTGGATGGAAAAATAAATAAATAAACCCCACAACACACTGCACTCACAGGAAATTGCAGGAATTGCAATTTTCAGAGTCTACTTTGGGGCTGGGAGAGGGACAAGAAAGAAAGAAAAGTTCTCTCTCAAGGCTCCCACAAGTAGAAAAAGAAGGATTCTTGCACATATCTGAGAAAGGAGACACACCAATTCAGTGGATAATCACTAGTGATTAAACACCCCTCTATCAGTAGGAACATGCTTGTTCACAGGCTGCTTTAGTGAAGTCTACTGGTCTCGCTCCCTGGACATGAAACCTCATATTTCAAATTAACCCTCTATGCAGTAGAGATTAACACAAGAGCCAGACTTAAGATCCAACAGAACATATTTTCTTCTTTTATATACACAGTGCTGGGACTTCATAATCCCTTCTGTCCTAAAGACAACTGCCAGCTGCTTACATTAAATACTTTCAATATTGAGTTTTTCAGAGTCCTGCTTATAAGCAAGGTCAGACTGAACTTCAAATCTCTTATATTTGTGCATTAAAGAACATAAACTTGTTGGGAGACAGATGAAGCTGTCGCCCTCAATATTTGGAGAGAAAATTAACAGTCTAAGTGCTGTCTTGCAAGATCTGGATAGTGTGATAAAACACTGGCAGTCACAGGACCCAAGTGACAGCAGTCAAAAACTGCCAACAGTGCAGAGTCTTGAGGACAACCCTGAAATTCCTTGGTGAGCAAAGACTGCACATATTATCCAGCATTACCAAGAGAAGATGCACAGAAGAGACCCTGGAGGTATTAGCTTCTGAACAACTCCAGGTAGATTTAAACAGAAACCAGCCTTTCTACTTCTGCTTTCTCCAGACCCAATGGCCAGAGGGTCCTGCAGAACTTGAGGGAGAGCCCAGCAGTTCTTTCCATTGTGCTCCCTGCACAGCTCCCTGCTCCTTGCCAGCTCTGGAAGCATTAGGACTTCAGTTAGATCTCACTGGGCATCATTTTCACAGCCTCCAGGGTTAGAGGAAGGCAGAAGAAAAAATCTTGGAGATGACAGAGCCAAGCAAGCTTCAAGTGCAAATGCTAGGCTAATTCAGACTAATCTAATAGTGTAATAAAGGAAGAGCCTGGCCACTTAGAGCTAGCAGAACCACCAGGCTTTTGCCTTTTAGAGCCTCTCAAATGACCCAGTAAGCAAAAGGGAAGGGATGCACTGATTATTTTTGTCCTACTGAGTTAGAACAAGAAATCCCCCCTGCTTTGTCATCATGCAAGCTACAAGGCAAACTTTTGAGGAGAAAAGAAAAAAAGTCAAAGTTATTTCTGGGGAAACTAATTTTTGAGGTGAGGTTCTCAAGCTAGACTCCATTCTCACAATGGTCTCAATTTGCCTTCAAGATATTTTAGCAAGTTCATTATTAGAAGAGGAAATGTTAGGGTCTTCCACTGTTTTTATTTCAAACATAAGGACATAAAGGGCAGTCATATTAAGCCAACAGAAGATACCTGGAATTTTCAATGTATTCAAGAGCTTGTTTAGCCCTTGAGAAAATATCTTGTGCTGCAATGAAAATGAAGTAATTTTGGGAGATTAAAGTGATCCATCCAAACTTGCTTCCCCCAGAATCCTTTAATACAGATAGCATAGGATTAGCCATTTCTGACTTCTTACATACGCCTAATGACAGCCTATTTAGGGATTCCAAGGTCAGTCCACATCCAACTCAAGTTGTTACTCTACAGGGGAGAAGAACTTGCTTTCATTGTGACAGATCTTTATTCTTGTTTATATTATGTTCACTGAGTGCTTTGATTTCCAAGTGCAGGAAAGGAGCCTTCCAAGGGAACCAGTGCTGAGGGAACTCTTCTTGATTTTTTTAATTGAGCTTTAGTACAAATCTCTTCTAGCAAAGCTAGCTAAGGAAAAAAATAGAAAAAAAAGGAAAGATGACCACATCGCATGGAGCCTCCTGTTTATAACACAGGGAACAAGCAGCTTCCATTTCAAAGGAAATTCAAGCAGTGGGGGAATACTGACTCCCTGCGCCCCCTGCAACATCCAGTTCAGAGCATCTAACCACCCACTTGCCTCCAGCAAAGAGCAGGGCCATAAGGGAACAGCTTAGTGCAATTACACAGGGCATCCCTCCTCCATCTCACTGAGCACCTGCGCATAGCTTTGGCTCTGGTGATTAAAGGCCAAAGGGATCTGCCATGCTCTTTTGGGGCAGCTGCAGGAAGGAGCAGAGGATGCCACAGGGACGCTTGATAAATAGGTATCAAAAGGTAAATTCTCTATCTCAGAGCAAATTACAGATTCAAGGAGCAATAGCAAGGATTAAAACCCTGCAGAGCTGTTTAAAGCAACTGAAATTACAAAGTTTGAGGTGGATTTAGCATTTATCGAAGGCGGAGATACATTATGGCTTCTCCTATGCCAAGAAATACTAATAGGACCATCAGCACAGGGGTTGTTCTCCCAGAAAAAGGCTGTAAAAGCATTGCAAGGAACAGCAGGGCTCAGCTGTTCCTGGATGTGATGGTGAAGCCTGTCCATCACTGACAACAAGCAGCTGTGCTGGGTTGGACTGTCAGGAGGCAGCAGAGTATGAAGGCAAGACTGAAATTAAAAGGCAGAGCAGCTCTATCCCCTAAAGTAAATGACCACTTAGTCTCATTTTTGAGAAGTGATGACTCTGAAAATGGAAACAAAGTCAGGATAATTAAAACTAATGGAATGCAAGTGGAAATTACCACTTCTGAGGTTAAAGCCCTGAAGTGTAATGTACTGAGATCAAACAGACCAGATAATCTCTATTCCGGAGGAGTTTTCATGAGAAATTGTTTTTTAAGTATGTCTCCAATAAAAGACAGTGCTGGACAACTGAGAGCAGCAAAACCTGTTCTTAAAGAAAAAGGCCGGATCTGAGCACAAACATTTTTGTATAAAACCATGAAATAAAATATTAAATAAGCCTTTGTCTATCTGAAATGTGGTCAAAGATGCTATGGATGCTCTGAAATAAAGCTGCATTTTTCCTGCCCTTTGTAATAACCACCAGACAGGTTTCAAGCAATGAATCAGATGGGATATTTTCTGGCAAGAATATCTGGAAAGATCTGGTGAGAACCTAGCCAAAACATCTCCTCAGCCTTTCACAGGGAGGAATCCAACAAAAGGACCTCAGCAAACACTATTTAAGAAGGCAATCTACATCAAGAGGCCAACTGTCTCCTAATGTGCCTCCATCCACTGATAAGAGCAGAAACTCCCCTAAAAGGCTCTGCTAAAACAGGCACTTTGGGATGATGCTGGGTCACAAGCTAAGCCAGCTGGCTGAGGTGGCTTTGGATGCATCTTCTGTTTCTCCTTCTCCCTTGCAGGTCTTTGCAAGGGGACAGACTTTTCAACCACATATCCCACTGTACCCAACTGATTAGGAAGCCACAAGTCAAGCCTAGAATGGAGGACTAGACAGCTCTGTGGTTATAGGACCTCTCTTCCAATTCAGTTACAGCTGTATTGGCAAACTCAGTTCAGTGTCTGTAGGTTGGGTTATCAGAGGCTGTTCCTACAGCACAAAATTCCAAAGTCTGTCTCATGCAAACATGACAAAAAAGGAACTTAATGCCACGTCCATCTCTCCTCTGCCATCTCCTCTGTGGAGATGTCACCTCTTACTCACGTCTCATAGATGTGTCCATTTTCCACCCTCTCTTCCACATAGGCCAGAGCACGGACATGCATCGGGGAGTGAGGGAAGGCAGCGTGGATCCACGGCAGGCCGAAGATGGACAGCCCTGTGTTGATCAGTGCAACAAGCAGGAGGTCCCAGTGGTAGGCTGTTCCCTTCACCAACCTGAAACAGGAAGTTTTTAGCATTTTAGCAAGTTCATGGAAATTTTTAGCATTTCTAAAAGTAACAGGGCCACTCTTGCTGAAGTGAGCCTGAACACTAGACACTGAAGTTCATTCCACACACAGCACAATTTCACCCATCTGCTGCTTTATAGGCTACACTACATGAAAGCTACAGGTAGTGAAACTTGATAGTTGCTCTGCGAAAAGACCATCTTGTTGAAAGAAAAATCCTGAGCAGAAAGGCAACCCACCAAAACAGCTCATGAAAATTTATTCAGTGTTTTGCAGCTCCAATTATGGTGGCATCCACCCAAAATACTCCAGTCACATCTTCTGGCAGAGCCCACAGAGGCACTACCTAGAAATCTAGGTACAGTTTGCAAAACTACAAGCACTGGAGTTTCCCCAGCCTTCTTGCTTTTAATCCTGATCTCTATCCTCTCCCACAAGCAGACCCAGAAGCAGCTGCACAAGTGTTCAGTACAGAGTAATCCATTACAGTTATGTAAGTGTTACTGCATGGTAAGAAAATAGGACATGAATTCATTAAGCATCATCTTCTCTTAGATAGTCAACCAAGGCAACATGCTAACTTTAGTGAACACAGGGTACTTTCCACTTTGTTAGAGGAGATGGAAGTTAACAGCCTTCATAAAGGATTTGGCTATTCCTCATTCACTGTGTTAAGGAGTGTTAGAGTGGCTACTAACACTTCAGTGCATCACTTTAAACTTACTGTTTTTGCAGAGTCTGGACTCTTCTTGAATGTATCCAGCTAGTGACAACTGCTGAGATGTTTTGAGTAAAATTCAGAAAAAACAGAAAGATAGAGCTCTCGGATTTTGATTGCCAAGTTAAGACCTGCAGTTCTGCTTCTGCACCTGGATAGTAGGACCCTGAAAACTGTTCAGCTCACCCTGATGCAACAGCCACAAAGGATTAGCTGAATTGATCTTTAAGCATAGGCAACTAGAAAGGGAACTCAGACATGAAGTTCATCCCACTCAAGCAGGCTCAACTCACCACTTGAGCCATACGAAGTGTTACAGGACATGAGGCACACGGGGCTAGAAGATGACTGTACATAAAGGAGATCTTAAGATACCCAGGCTCTCTCAAAGGGCAAAGCTTGGGCAAACATTTTGGGTGGAATCCAGTTTTTGAATAAGAATCACCTCCTCACAGGAAGTGTCCACCTCCATTGACAGAGAAGACCACATAGTGACTAGATGAGACATGTCTACATTGCAACATCTCTGAAGCTGAAAGATGCTGTCAGGAAGGGTGGGTTGCAGACTGTGTGGCTGTAGACATGCTTCCTGTGGTGGCTCATGCTTTGGGAGCACAGCCCAAGCTCACGTGTTGCTTACTCAGGGCAAAAGCACCTCCAGCATCCCCAGGGTATTCATCTATTGTTTGATTGCCCTTTTGGAGGGCTTTACAAGTCAAAGGTATGCATCTAGTACCAGCATCATTTTAGTTCCCCTGGGATACGTTTGGTCTCAGCAGTCTTGCAACACTGATGAGATGGGAGAGTAGATAAAAATCTACTGAGCTTCCATGATTCCTTATGTTGGATTATAACCATGGTGGCCCACTGGCTGTCTGATACTTTAGTGATATTTTGCATTGATTATTCTTTAGCAAAGTACAGGAGAGTATTTTGGGGCATTACTTTTTCCTCCTTTGTTCTCCAGGAAGAAATCATTACCTTTGGAGGGCACTAATAATGCTTTCCATTTGGCCAAGACAGCTAATGTAGAACTACAGGTGCAGATGTCCATGACATTTTTATACTCTGATGGTATCCAAAACAGATGGCAAGTCCTAGCTTTTCTTCTCTACAAAAAACATGCTCTGATACCTGATCAGGCACAAGCTCAGTCTCATTTACAATATTATGAAGAATGATCCACAATACATTATGAAGCATTTTGAAAAATACTACAAAAACTACAAAGAATAATTTATATTCTAGTGGGACACTAGTGGTAGGTTTGAGATCCACGTAAGGAAAAAAGTGACCTATTTATATTACGAATTAATGCAGCATTTTGCTTAAATGGGATGCAATCAGAGAAAAGGAAAATTTAAGTGGCCAAAGAAAACCAAAGCAGTATGAACAGCTTTGTGCTTGTCTTCTCCCCAACCCAATAAAACTTCAGCTACAATACAGAGAATGTTAATGCAAGCTTATTCAAGGAGAAAAAACCCTCTCACACACTACAATAACAGAAAAATCCTGAGACATGGCAGTTTCCCTGGAAAAAGTGTTGTATATGTTCATTTTTGGTACCATATCTGATCACAGCTGGCACAAAAACTTCAAAGGGAATATTTTAATACTGTAAAATCTTGACTCAAGTTTGCACATAAATCAGACCCATCAGATAAAAGTGAAAATATATTAGACACACTGTTCTACTCTGCTTCCATCTTCCAAATTAATCACAAGCAGCTCAAAGATGAATCCTCTGATGCTCAAGTGCAGCACATGATCCTAAGATATTGCTTAGCCAGATGACCAGCTTTACATTAAGTTCTCTATATACCAAGAGCAATTTAAGTGACCACATCAGTCGATCACTAAACAGCTAGTGGTACATAACATTCCTACAATGGTCTGAGGAACTCAGCTCATTGATGTTTTGCATTTTTGACTTACTGCCACACTACCAGCCTTTGGACACTTTAGGGCATTAAACAGAAATATTACTTTCATCTCTACAAGAGAAGTTCTGAAAAGTAGACATTGAGCATCTTTCCTAATCCAAACTAGTTGTGGTCAAAGTTCAGTCTGCAGGGGAAATTTAGTAGAAGAAAGGAGGGAAACATGGTAATAATAATTCTCATATTAGTTATCATTCACATTAGATTAGTAAAATTAATCTTCTCAATTTAGATTTTTGTTCCCTTCTGCAGATTACTATTCCCAATATTGGGCAGCAGAAGACTGAGCACAGCAATACCCAGAATAAGACAACACTGGAAAAACCAGAACCACCTCTCCCAGATTAATATACTGTCATATTTTTGAACACGGCTTTTCAGTCAACCACATTTCAGCAGTAAAAACAGAAAATAGAAGTCCAGGGTACCTGCCCACATCAACCCATTGGATTACTAAGAACACCAGCAATGGTGGTGCTGGGAACATGCTCTAGATTTGCCCTCAGTAGAGGCAGAGGAAATGCCCAAAGCATTACCTGTTCTCCGGGGCATTTGTGAGCGAGGCCACAATGTTCTGCTCTATGAAGAACAGCATCGAGAGGAGGAATCCCAGCCCCATGGCACTCATCACCGACCCAATGGAGAGAGACCGGACTGGGGCCAGCACAAACAAGCTCTCGGATGGGTTGTAGTTAAATTTGGACACTGCAAAGAAGAGAGGAATGATGTTAAGCTGCACCTTCTTATTCAACTATCAGCATGGAGTGGAGCCATGTTTTACCCATATTATGAACTATGGGGAAATCAACACATCAAGCAAGTTATGTTCTCTGGCATACAAGAGCCAGAAGGCCTCAAAATATGCCCATCCAGCATTTTTAGGCTAGCTTTACTCTCTGCTCTTACAACTTGGATACCATCCTGCTTTGGCAAATTATGGCTAGTTCTAGTAAGGTGGTGAGCGTATTTGAGAAACAGGAGGGAGGTTTGTTTCCTACAGATGCAAGGTATTTTTAGATTAGAAGTCTTTAATTCTAATCAACTGTAGATTCCTGCTCAGTTGATTTACTCAGAGGCATTTTAAAAATTTGCCTGTATCCAAAAATCTGTGCAAGGCACTTCAGTATAAATGTGTCCCTTTCTGCCAGTGGAAGAAATCTATCACTAAGGACAAGCTACAGATGGCAATGCATCAATTTACAATCCAACTGGATGAAATGGCCATTAGAAAAAATTAATTTCTTATTTGTTTCCATACATTTCCTCATATCACCTATTCACGTCATCATGGGACAATGCAATTCCTGTCCTCATTATCACTTCCTGATATGGAAAAGTTGATCTATTTGGCCAATGAATGGTGTATCGTTTTTAGATTTCCTCATGTAACTTAGAGCTGCCCAGATGCTCTGCACCATTTCACCTAAATTAGGAAGACGTAAAGTGGAGACAAACAGGACTGACTGGGATCATCAACCCTACGTCTGCAAAACTGGCAGCAACCCTTCCTGCCTACTAATTACCCTGTCCTTTGTTCTCTGCCAGAAATTGTTGATCATCTTTATTGTTAGATATCCATACTTTAGATTACATTCAGACTGAAAGACAGACTTGAGTTTTTTTTCTAGAAAAAGAAAAAAAGCAGTCCCTTTTGATTAGATTTTTGAATGATTTAAATCTAAGATTGAATAAGTTAGGATTGTCTTTATACACATTTAGACAATTACACAGAAGCACTGAGATATTTAAACAATGAGAGCATTACCAATACGTTTTCAACCTTAAATGTTTTCCCCAGAATTTCAGAAAACAACAAGATAACTTACTTTCTATTTCCTTGAAGATATAGGAGCCCACAATAGAGAAAGTCAGAACTGAAATTGGTAAGGCACAGTCAGACAGAATTTCACGGACTCTGGCATGCAAATACGGGCTGCAATTTAAGACAAAAACAACTCTCATCAACATCACACTGATCGCACAACTGCTTTCCCCAAATCATGTTCAATTTCTACCAATTGAGTATTCAGTCCAATGTTGCAATTTTAGAGATGCTGGGAGTGCAGAATTAGAGCCTTTAATTCAGCCCCAAGCTCTTGGGGATCTACCCTTCCAAGACTGATGAAAATAAGCAAGACTCAAAGAAATAAGAAACTAAGATGCAAACTAGAAAGGAGTCTTCTAGTACCATTGTGTTTGTGCCCAATTCCCACTCTTGTTTTATTTGCTTACTCAGGCATTTAGAGTGATGAGTTTAAGAAAACAGCAGTAACACCCCCATTACTCAAGAATACAGTGAAGGTCTCTTCCCAATAAACCTTCTAATATTATTGGGGATGTTGCTCTTGCCCCCTCCCACGCCTTCAAAAATGAATCAATGCCTAATCAGGGAAAGTCACAAGAGTTCCAATGTGAAAAACATGGCTCAAAGCTTTCTAAAGAACACTTGTGACACCAAACATACACATGCATCTTCCAGTGACTGGACATTTTGTTCTATTACCAACAATTGTCAGGTGGCCAGCCAAGTTCTCCTTCAGCTTTGGCTATTTCAGCTAATGGAAGAGTTCCACCTGTTTGCACTGGTGTCCAAAATTAGAGTCTGAATCACCAGCAATTTATTAAGGGTAATATGAAATAATGAGTATTCTGAGCTCCAAGACTAAAGCAACTCACCTTTTCTTAAACTGATAGAGCGTATAACCAAGCCAAAGGGTACCCAACATCAACATGAGACTAAGGACAGCAGTTTCACGTCCATAATGCACATCATGAGTGCCTGTTTGATTCTCTAAGGACATGGATCTGCTCACTGATGAATTCATCAAGAAGGTGGTATTGATGCCGAAGTTTGGAATAGCATCAATTCGTGCTTTTTCCAAGTAACTGTCTCCTGTGCGCCCATAGTAGTAATATTTCTTAAAAACTGTACAAACAACCAACAGGCAAGCATTAGGATAGGTTTGTGACAATCAAAGCAACTAAAATAATGTGATTCTTTCTTGCTTGATCATGCAGTATTATTAATGTTCAGCTTTACCAATTTTATAGCTCTATCCCTCGAACCAGTAAAGACCCAGGAGAGCCATTTCTCTTACAAAGCCAGTGCTTTATAGATTTATTTTTCAGTTACTTTAGCAGGTAAAAGTTGCACTGATTTTGAGCAGTATTTTTGAAGTGTAAGGCTTACAGTGCTTAATCTTTATACAGCTTAATCCCCAGCACTGGAATTATTGCTCTAAAATACAAATTTAAGTAAAACATGTCCTTTCTGCAACCTGCTAAACAAATTGCATCAGAAACTCTGAATAAAATAAAAATGGGTAAGTTGACCAAATCCTTAAGACGACTATACAATGCAGAATAGCGACCTTCCTTTTGAGGCTGGTGTAAATTTTTGAAAAAATAAATTTGAATAGTCTGCCAGGTTTTGCATGCCACACATTAAACTGCAAATAGAGTTACACAGCATTTAAAGTTAACCTGTAAAAGACTAAATAATGCCTCTGGATCTGTCCATTATTGCATTAGGTTAATTCAGAGTAATTTATAAACACCATTAACAGCTAGACAAATACACTCTTGTTCTTGAGCATTCCAAGTGTACATATCTGTCATGTTCCCATTTCTATCACTTTGGAAAGCTCCAAGTATTTGTAAGTGTCAATGAGATGGTTTCACCTCTTTTGGCAAAGAGGAACCTGAGGTGCCACAAGGAACAAGCACAACCAAAAGATGTGGTCTGAGTTTTGCAGCACACGCAAACCAGGATTGTGTGAACAGACAGGAGCAGACAGCTCCTGCACACCAACAGGAAGACATGAGAGGTGGGAAACAAGTATGCCTGAGCTTTGCAGTTTCTACCTTTCATTAGTGAAGACACCTCACCAGGCTTCGCACAAGGGAAGACTCAAACGTTTGCCAAGATTGTCTTTAGACAAAAGTTCAGGAATCCAAGATTTAGATGATGTAATGCTCCTGTTTAATAACCCTTCCCTCCATGTAGCTTATGAAAAAGCCAACTCTTAACCATTCCCATCAGCAGCTACATAGAAAAATAGGCAAAATTAAGGATTCTCACTGCAAGATCTCAATAAAAATAATAAACCTAAAACACAAAATAAATATAAATCCAGATATCAATACCGTATGTCTAGGCATAATGACACTTATGAGTAGAAACCTTTCTTGGGGCTTTCACACTATATATTTTTTAAGCATCCAAATGCTTGACCAATGGATGAGGTCAATAGGATTTTAAGGCCACAGAATAGCAAACCTGTTATTTCATATTAAACACCTTCACACATGAGCTTCAACATCCTTGAGGAATGTTCATGGTTCAAGCTTTACCATTTCAACCTGATCTAAGGCAGCTAGAAATAAGGTGATAATTGCACAGTTAATCATGAGAAAGCTCCCCCTGCAAGGAACATCCCCTTACGGACTGTGTTAGCACCATGTATATTGTGCATCGCGTGACAGGGACAAGGCCACACTGTTATTTCCTCTCTTCATCCTCCCAGCTGTGTCCATGCAAGCCGCACACCCCCGCCTAACGCGCGGCAAGGTAAGACAAGGCAGAGCACTGCTGTGACCTGCACACCAGCACAAAGCAGGCTGGAGGATTCAGAGTTTCCTGCTCTGCACATTAAAGGACACTTTTGTCATAAAAAACAGCAACAGGGGTATTTCCTGGGGATTAACAGCTGGCCAGGGCTAAAGAGCTGTTCACTGTCTCAGCAGCTCCTAAGCACTACTAAGTCCAGATATATGCACAATTCTTGAGCATATGATAAACTGACAGCACATACTACCACCCAGCTATGCAGGATAGATTTTCATGCCTCAATATTTGGATTAGGATTTAAATAAATAAAATAGTTTTGCTTCTTTCAGGGTTTCAGAACTCCTGACTTGAAACAGCCTAGCAAAGACAGACTTAAGACTGAGCACAACTTTGGTGTATTTAAGCCTAAGCACAGCTACACACACTACATTACAGTCAGTTCAGCTCAATTCACTCCACTTCAAAACCAGGTAGGTTGCTCCACTAAGTCCTGAGCTGAGGGTAACTTTCCAACTTAGTTACTATTTTAGTTACTGCAACAAGAACATGCCAGGATGGCCAGGAAGAACCTTTGTCCTGCAACAAGGGCTTTCTATAAAATAGCTTTCTGTTTTTAAATAACTAGATGTGCAAGAATTGGATAAGTGGATTTGACCACCCAAGTTCAGAGTACACTGCAAAGCAAGTCATGCTCTCCCTGAAACAGAGCCATCCTCAAGCACAGTGCGTGTTCAAGTTCCCTCCAACAATATTAGCTTGTGTTGTTTGCTTCAGCCAGTTCATAGCTGTTTCCTGTGGAGTGCAGATGTCAAGATCAAACAAACACAGCTTAGGTGGCTGGGCCACAAGCCGAAAACAAAGTGTCACCGGGAGAGTGAGGACGCACACGTCCAAATTCCTCTGTATGGGATTGCATCCTCCCCCTTCTTTCCTGCACATGTACCTTGCAGACCAGTGCTTCGAAAATAGAAGAAAATAAATCCAAGAGCAGTATGTTCCCAGGTTCTGTCCCCAGTTCTACTGTGTAATCCATGTGACACTGGCAGATCATTTGGGATAAACCCTGGGCAGCCTTCTGGGTCTGAAGACCTGATTTGATCTGAGGTCTCATTTATTCATATGTTGAGCACACACATGCAGCTCAAGTCAAGATGAGTTGGCAAACAAGTTATTGAGCTCTTACTACTACTCCACATAAGCTCAGCTCTACCCAACTACATGGGATAATCACACTAGTTACTTCCAAGCTCCTCTCCCTTTCCCTCTACAATACTCTTAAAAATACTTATATACTCCTGAATGCCTGTCAGCCAAGATGAACAGATGCTTTGGTCTTTTAGCCTGCATCCTAGGGCCATGATACAGGAAAGCAAATCTACACTTCACAAAAGCACTATGACCTTATATAATTATGAGAGCCCTTAAATATCTTGGTGAGCAACACCTTAGTGTCCCAGGGGAATGGCTCAGTGCATCCAGAACAGTGTACTAATTGCATACACAAGTCAGAGCTGTGTGTAGAGCACTGAGAAGACAAACTACTACAGAACAGTTTTTCCTTACCTATCTGGGAAAGATATCTGAAAAACACAGGTGTTCTGCAGGGGGAAAAGAACACGGATTGCACAAAGCATATGCCCAAGAAGGCAATTAAGGATGCTCAATAAAGTCAGGAAACATCTCACTTAAAACTGCTCTGCGGTGTTAAACCTTCTCTTTGAAGGTGTTTGTCTTTGCATGTAAGGCACCATAAAGAGCCAAGCTCAACAACCTGGAAAATGGAAGTTTTGCTCAGCATGGTTAAGCACGTCATGAAGGATTCCAGGAGACAGCCCAGGCATTGGGGCTTATGGACAGTTGATCATAAAACAAGGAAGGAATTCAGACTCAACTAATGTCTTGTCAAGATGAGCAGACAGACTGCCATCTGCATGGCATTTCTGCTAATGCTAAATATGCATTGCAATTCCTGATCAGAAAGCAGAAAGTTACCAGAGATTAGCACATTAAACTCCTATCTTGGTACCCCTGGGTGTTCATCCAGAAGTTAAGCCACAAATGGGGATCAAGTGGCTGGAAAAGGCAGAACTGCTTTAGAGACATGCAGGCAGACCTCACCATCCTTACAGAAAAGGCCTCAGAACTCAAAACTATTCAGAAATGAGTAGTCTCAACCAATCTCAACTCCCCTTTGGATATACTCACAGCTGTAATAATCTGAATACTCAAAAGAGTACAACCTGCATGCACTACTTAAAAAAAATCAGATTGCACTATTTTGGTCTGAAACCCAGTTAATATCAGAGAGACTTTCCCAGCACCATTGATATAGGTTATCCATTTGATGAGTTAAATCTCTAACTAATCAGTATTAGGGATCAATACATCCCTATATATCAAAGGGCTGGCACAAGGCTGTTAGTT